AGATAGCTGAGTATATAACCCAGGACCAGAGTCAGATGTTTATAGTCTAAGTTACAGATGTGATACTGATGAAGATATATATGGGCATGAGAAAAAACAGAAGGCGGGAATAGAAAAAAAATACCATTTCCAGAAGGCTTTTGAAGTACTCTACATTATTTAATAACAAATCAACATATGGAATAATCACCGCACAGAGAGAAGGAGACAACACACACCATCTGACCCATTCATGTGAGAGGATTCCTAACACTCAAAGCAAAGTCCCAGTTCTGCCACAGAGAGTTTTTCCAACCTGTACAATGGGGTCATGGCTATTTCTCTGCCAGCACAGTGTTCTGCTTGTATCACAGTGTTGTGTGATGTCCAATTCCCACTAATAACACAGTTGTTATTTGGCCTGAAGGCTGGCTCAGTACTCTGCCTGTCAAGGCTAATGGCACCTTTGTATACCTGCTAGTCGCTCATTAGCAGGCATCCCAGTCACCCTGGCACTGAGGTCTGACTGCAATGATTACCACCTCTGTTTCACTCCATGAAAAACTGCACATTAGCACCAAGGAAGAGGTCACTTTATTATGGCAGCTTAGAGAGTCACTATACCTGGCTTCCTCCTCACTGTAATTTCTTCAGGTGTATGGATGGGGCTGGGAGGCTGATGGGGGCCCAGTCCAAGGAAAAAGCTGTTCCATGGATCCCAGGAGGTCCAATGATGTTGAGTTAATGTGCATTAAGCTACAGCAAGATGACAGTTAAGTATCCATGCCAGTCCGGAAAGGAAAAGAAACACTCTGACCCAAAGCTTCTCTGGAACACTACTCCCACTAAGGGTCCGCTTGGTGCCAGACAAGGTGTTGGACAGTTTGCATACCACAAGCCTCATGGTAATTCTTCTATGTAGGTTGTGGTTGTGTGCTATCAAGTTGCTTCCAATCATAGTGTTGGAAGAAGTGCAGCCAGTGTGCTCCTTGGAGTCCAGGATGGCCAAACTTCGTCTCTCATACTTTGGACATATTTCAGGAGGGACCAGTCGCTGGAGAAGGATATCATGTTTGGTAAGGTGGAGGGTCAGAGGAAAAGAGGAAGACCCCCAACGAGATGGACTGGCCAGGTGGCAGCATCAATGGACTCAAGCATGGCAACAGTAGTGAGGTTGGCCCAGGATCGGGCAGTGTTTCGTTCTGCTGTGCTTAGTGTCGCTATGACTCAATGGCACCTAACAACAGCAACAACAAGGTTTCTGAAGCTGTAAATCTCTCTGGGAGCAAAGTGCCTCATCTTTCTCCCGCAGAGCGGCTTGTGGGCTCAAATCTTGGACCATGTAGTTAATTTTGTTATTGTTGTTGTTGAGTGACATTGAATTGGTTCTGACCCATTGCAACCCTATATAGGGTCTCCAAGGAATGGCTAGTGAGCTTCAACTAATGACCTTGAGGTTCAAATTGACTTTGCAGTCCAACACATTAACACACAGCACCACACCAGGACTCCATGTAGTTAATAGTCCAATGCATAACCCACTATGCTACCAGGACCCCTGTAAGTATTATCCTCTTTTAAAATATGAGGAAAGTGAGGTTCAGAGAGGTTACCATGCCAAACCACACAGTTCCCATAATTTGAACCCAACTGCCTGATTCCAAAGCCTATACTCTGTTCACTATGATATACTGTTGCTGTTCTATGTGGTTCTGACTCACAGTGACCCTGCACAGAGTTTCCAAGGAGCAGCTGGTGGATTTGTACCACCAACCTTGTAGTTAATTGTTGTTGTTGTTAAGTACGGGTGAGTTGGTTCCAACTCCTCACAGTGATCCTGTATAGGATGTCTGAGGCTGTAAATATTTGTGGGAGCAGAAAGCCTCATCTTTCTCCTACAGAGTACCTGCTGGGCTTGAACCACCAACCTTATAGTTGCAGTCCAGTGCTTATTCTACAGACCACAACAGGATATACTAAGGAAGAAAAATTAGCAACTGGACTTAGTTTAACCCTTTGGTGATCTGTGGAACAGACCTTACCCAACAACATTTTCAACATTTGAAGTTTCTTGGTAAACTCTTATCCCAGTTGTAGTACGTGCTACTGTCTGACAGGGACCTACTTAAATGTGTGAATCTGAAGTAATGGGTTTCGCTCCACCAATCCTACCACTAGTGCCCACTTGGGTCCTATATACTTGCATCAAAATCCATATTACATTAAAAAAAAATGTTTTTCTTGATTTCAGCACGCATTCTATTACTGACAACACATGATATCAACAACAAAAAACTCAAAACAATTTGGTTACAAAAGGGTTAAATTTCACTGAGGGACACAGGATCAGCACTAGACTTCAAACTACAGGGTCGGCATTTTGAACCCACCAGCTGCTCCTCAGAAACCCTATACAGTGTCTGTATGAGTTGGAACCGACTCAACGGCACCTAATACCACCACCACAACACTTGCAGGAATCAAAGAGCTAGCTAGGTGATCAGAGGCAAACTAAGCAAATAAGTGAGTTATCAACAAGTAGTTCCCAGGTTCTCCATACCAGGGGACATACCTTTCTCTTTCTGGGTCCTACTGTCAGTCAGACAGGCTTTGGCTGACCCCAGGGCCACTAGCCAGCGCTGTCTTTCAGCCACACTTCTGGCCTTCAGGTAGAAATACTGTTCCCCGGGGATTACCAGGTCCATGCGAGTGTTGTCGACAGAATGAACTGGAGACAAGACAGAGGGAGGTGAGGAGCCAGAAAAGCCTTCTCTGGAGTAGTCTCCAGCCCACCCACCCAAATTTTGATCCCAACTGTGGCCTAGCTGCTGAAGCCTCCTTCCTTCCAAGAAAGGATGTGGGCCCTTCAATTTCTCCTGCTTTACAGGAAGCTCTGTTGATCTTTTCCTATGCGCCTTTGTGACCCAGAGGACAAACCTCAAGGTTGATTACAAAGCAGCATCAAGATGCTGTCTTAAAAGAGAATCACCCATTTCCCTTACAATCCTTTCTCAAAAATAGATGGAAAAAAATCGCTTTGGGCTGTTGTGTATGTAAAGTATGCTGGTCCAAGGCCCAACAATGACTTGTATGACAACAAGCAAGGGAACATTATTTATCCCTTTAGGTTTGCTGCAAAGCAATCAAGAGTACAATGTTTAGCCCTTTCTATTTCCCTAACAGGTTGGCCAAAAATGTACACATTCCCTCAGAGTCCTTCAGGAGAAGAAACAAGCAAACGACATTCTTCTCCCCTCATCTACCTTCTGAGCCTCACACCTTCTCAGTCTGTTAGGGGTTTGCTTGGTTTGAGTATATGGTGGTGGGGTATGCGGATTTAACACAGAAGTTTAATCACTGCAGCTAAAGGTTTGTAAATAGACACAGGCCCCGGGGCGACTAAAGAATAAACACCGGACATGTAGTAGAGTGTACCCATCTATCCTGGCTACCTCTTGACCAGATAGCTCGTAAAAACTGGCTGCAGTTTCAGGCTTTTTTGTAAGGCTCTCTGTGCATCCTGATCTTTACTATCGGAACAACAGAGAAAGCATGCAGAAGCTAGTGGGTTTTTTATAACTTGTTGGGGAGACACAGAGAAAAATAAAGCCTACAAGGCTCTTGGTTCCTCACCTTGAATTTCACAGACCGCCATCTGGATGCTCCCTTTGCAACCCTTCCAGGCATCTTCAGGAGAATCATAATAAGATAATATCCCCCCACAGAGAAGGAACCATCGAGGCTGCCAACCTGGAAACAGAAGTGTGAGTGTCTGTTACTGCCCGTGTATGAGCTGCCGCTGACTCCCAGGACATGGGAATAGGACCTAACATAAGACTCTGAGTTCCAGCTCCCAAGGAGCTTACACAGCAAGCGCAATCTGATCAGGTGAAAGCAGGTTATGGAGAAAACCTTTATGTTGATTTTGTTTTTGTAAAATTACACAATACCAGTATTTTAAAGTTATACAAGGCACAGAAGATGACCTATTTTTTTAGTTACACAATGTGAAAAGGTCTGAGAGGATCAGCAACTAGGGATGATTCTGTAGGGAGTGGGATTACCTTGCTGTTAATTGAGTTAAGTTAGCGCCAACTCATGGTGCTCCTATATGTAACAGACTGAAATGTGGCTGGTTTTGATTGCTTCCTAATATAATACTAATAAACCATGACTTGTTACTTTTCTAAAGTAAATGATTATGGCGTGCTGAGTGTATTGTTACACACATGCCTTCCCAAGTTCCAGTTAAGAGAAGTTATACAAAACTTAGAAATGAAGAAAAAAAAAAAATGTATAATGTCCTTCTAAAGTTGTATTGGAGTCTTGGTGAGGCACTGTGGGATAAAGCACTGGACCGCAAGGTCAGTTTGAACCACAAGGTAGATGGAACACTGTCTAAAGACGAAAACATGATGACTAGCACCAGAATCCTGCCAGGCTAGTTCTGGGAGATGAACCCTCAGGTTGGAAGGCACTAAAAATACAACAGTCGAAGAGCTGCCTCCTCAAAGTAAAGTTGACCAGATGATGCGAATGGAGTTAAGCTTTCAGGACCTTCATATGTTAATGAAGCACAACTCAAAATGAGGAGAAACCGCTGTAAACATCCACAAATAGTTGGAACATGGACTGTACAAAGTACACAATCCAGGAAAATTAGAAGTTGACAATATCTTCGGCATTAGTGAGTTAAAATGGACTGGTATTGGCCATTTTGAGTCAGAACCAACTCAACAAAACCTAACAACAACTAAATAGCTTCACTTTCTACAGCAGTATCAATTTTACTATAGAATTTGTTCCAAATTCTGTTATATTTGAATTGCTATTAGTAATTTCAGCACTAATGGTACTAGTGCCATTAAACTGTACTTGTTAAACAAGTGTTCACAGAAAAAGGTTTCTCCTGGTTAAGTATATTTTATAAAGGAAGTTAATTTGGGGATTGTCTTTAGAAATTAATGAATCCTTTTCTTTGATCTTCTGTGAGCTTTTGTGTCAAGGAGCCCTGGGTGGTATTGTTGGTTAAGCACTAGGGGGGATACTAACCAAAAGGTTGGTACTCCATGGGAGAACTATGACCTCATAAAGATTTACAGGTTCAGAAACCCTAGGAACAGGTCCACTTTCCCTATAAGTCGGAATTGACTAAATGGCAGTGCATTTTAGTTGTACCTATTTCATTTCATGAAACTTTCCGAAAACCCTGGATATAAAATCATGTTACTTTTAACATTTGGTTCCACTCTAGCAAATAATCTGAACTGAAAATAGATTTATAAAATGAGTACAAAATTTATAAAATAAAGTTTACATTAGAATTTGTACATGAATACAAAAATTTGTATTTGAAGATCAGTTAAAAAAAAAAAAAAAAGATTTTGAACATGTGATGTTGTTCTTCAGGTCTGAGACAGTCCAAAGCAATATTCCTTACAAGGCAGTAAGACATAATTTCCTTTGTCTATCACACGATGTTTGTTGGCCGGACATTTGCTGAGCTTTGTGAACATTTTTTGTCTTAAGATAATACGTAAAAACTTGCATGCTCACTTTCCATACTTGGATGCTGCATCTTCCCAGTTCATTAGATTACAGCTGATACCCAATGGGGACATGAGCATTTGCATAGGGCATGATACTAGAACAAAGGTACGCTCGATCTTAAGATGTGCTTTGGTCTGCTTTGCACAGGACAGGGTCAAAGATTCTTTCTAAGTTACATGATTACCATCCCGCTGGCATGTTCTCATGTGGTCAGTGTTGTTGCTGTCCAGTCAATTCCGACTCATAGTGACCCTGTATAGGGTTTCCAAAGAGTTGCTGCTAAGTTTGAACCTTCGACCTTGTGATTAGCAGTCCAGTTGCTGCTCCTACAGCACCATATCAGGACTGTGGTCAATGAGAGAGAACTAAATGTGAGGTTGTGTTCAAACTAATCAAAAATGTATAGGAAAATAAAAATATTATTGCATAAAAAATTTATAATATTACATTTTATCTCTTTGTGAAGCTATTTGACTACCATATTCAAAGATAGGTACATAATTAATAACAATAGCAACATACTATGACAAGTTTGTTTTGCAAGTCATAACAACAGCAATCAATTTCTCAAAAGAAAATCTGAAGTGAAAGGGAAAAGAAAATATATTTATACAATTTTTATTATCTAAATATTCTGATAGGCTACAAATATAATGTTCTGATAAACACCCTTTGTTGCTTTCTTGGAAGATGAACACCAAAACACACTAATTGCTGGAAAATAGAAACATACTTTACATGATGAACACTGAATTTTGTGTCCTCTTAATGTACATAAGGACTCCTGGTGTGGCACTGTAGGATCAGCACTGGACTTGAAACCACAAGGTCGGCAGTTCAAACCCATCAGTTGCTCCCCAGAAACAAGGTCACTATGAGTCAGAACTGACTCAACAGCACTTTAACAACAATACACCCCAAACCCCATGTATTATCAATATGTAAAGTAATATCAAGCAACTGTGTCCCACACAACAGATAAGAAAAAACTCAAAACTCACTTGATACATAATTTCAAAGTTTCCATGCTAGATAAATAATATTTCCAGTACTTTTACATAGTTGATTTGTTAGTAGTCTATTAAATTATTAACAATGGTATAGTATCATATTAATGCTAGTTTGTGTCTGTGTGTATTACAAACAAATTTTAAAGTTCAATTTATAAAGTTTACAAATCTTAGGAGACAACTCTGTAAGTAAATGCTATACAATTAAAAAGTAACTTGCTTGAATTCATTGCAGTGGTCAATTTATTTGAGTTCCCTCACTCTTGCACATCATTGGTAATTCACCAAAACATGCGCAAGAGTATACGCTGTATTTGTATCACGGCAAAGAATATTGCTGGTCTTCCTGGTTGGAGCTGCCGCCATCAGCAGATGTCTATACATGATATTCTCAAAATGGATCAGACACCAGTTATATATTAATATAATCTGCCCTTGACTAGTAACAGCTTGTGTTGGATCAAGTTGCTTACTGGGTGCATGTAGCAAGATTTAGACTCAACAACCCACCCACCGCTTGTTTATTAGAAAGAAACAGTATATTCCCAAGACACTCAGGGCTTTCAATTACATCGAGGGGACCATGACACAGATGTCAATGAAGGTACTGAAGTGCCAGGAGTCTTATAGCTTAAACAACCTTGCACGTGGGCACCCATGACACTGCATGAACTTTTATATGTAACTAGCACATTCTCATGCACTGGAGCTAGTATCAATTTCATTAGTGCCTTGCCAGTTCCCTTCCACTGTGACCCTTGCTTTTCCTTGTGTCCAATCTACTTGGCATCTATGAGACTTAGTTTACAAGACTGGTGCATCTATTTTGTTAATGCCCTAAGCACTTGCTTATTGGGTAATCAATTTCTGACCAAGACTGCTCAGGTATAGAAGTCTGATGACCCCTGGGTCATTGTTTCACATAAAACAAGCTGCATATATATATACCAACTGATGTAAATTTATTAAGTTATGTTAGGAAATCTACGTACTTTCTAGAGTATCCCCAGACTAGGACTATGATACAAGCAAACTAAATTTGCAGTTGAGACGTTGAACGGTCAGCTCTAAATCTGAGTACAAATGAGGCGGCTAAAATAGGTTTAAAATCAGACCCCATTTTGTCACTGCTTTTGCTTTCTGGTAAGCACATGAACCTTGACTTATTTTGTAGGAGGAACTTTGAAAATTAATGGCTAAAGTATGTACATTTTTTTAAAGTACATATAATGTGTGGTGCTGTGGGTTAATGCGTCAGACTGCAAAGCTGTTTGAACTGCAAGGTCAGCAGTTTAAGCTCACCAGCTGCTCCTCAGAAATCCTCTATTAGGGTTGCGATGGATCAAAAAAACAGAAAACTTTCTACATGGCACTTCCCAACTCAAGTTCTCTATTCCATAATACAATTTCTTGCATTTACTCCCAACTGAGTATGAGTCTTTTATAATTTTGACAGGGTGATGGAGATAGTGGTGAAGGTTGTACAAAATTAAAGTGAAGGTAATTCATGCCACTGAACTGTATGCTTAATATGGTTAAAATGACAAATTTTATATTATATCTATTTTGTCACCAACCCACTACAATCAAGTCGATTCTGACTCATGATGACTATGAATAGGATTTTCAAGGCTTTATGGGAGCAGAAAACCTTATGCATCTCCCATGAAACTGCTAGTGGGTTTGAACTATCAACGTTGTGGTTAGCAGTCCAGTGCTTATCCTACAGGGCCATTAGGGCTCTTTATAGTAAATTTTACCACAAACACACATGCAAAAAAAAAGTGTCTTAAGTAGGAGGTAAAGGGAGTTGGGGCAGGGGGAAAAGAAGGTGTATTAGAGTTTCAAAGTCATCTAGCTTCAACAAATAATTGTGATTCTTTCACAGGGATCGACCAAGTACAGTTCAGATCTGGACGACCACTCTTTCTGTAAATCAATTTTATTGGATGAAAGCCATACCAAGCTTATTCTGCTTTGGTTCATTCTGGTTCGACTCCCAGCTGAGAACGTGCATTTCCACAAAATGTAGATTCTAATTCAGCATATCTGTTGGAAATGCACATTCTCAGCAGAGGGTCAGACAGGAATCAACCAGTTTGAAGCCCTCATTAATGGAGTCCTTAGGTGGCGGATGCTAAGTGTCTTCCAGTTGGTTCCTACTCATAGAAACCCAGCACAGGGTTTCCT